ATATAGGATACCTTACAGGTGCAGGCCTTCGCTGAAGCGTTAGCTTGCTGTTTGAGGAGGGCTTGGGTTGTGTTTTTTTCTGGTAGTCTTGCTTTTCTTCGGAAGCATTTAAAAAATGAGAGAAATCTTGCATTCAGACCAAATCTGAGATGCAGCGTTTCACCATCAACTCACCGGAGATTAATTTAAACTGTCTGGAAGCGTGCTCCTCAGATGACAGGACAGGCACGTGTTTCAAATGGTGAGTAACGCTGTGAATCCAGGTATGGCATCGCCAGCGCAGAGCACTTGCAGGGGTTACCCAGCCACATGGCAGCGGCTGGGGCCACCCAGCCACATGGCAGCGGCTGTGCCAATGCCACCGCCAGGGGATTTCTTCCCGCCATCCTTGCCCTGCCCAAAATGCCTGAGTATGCTTCAAGCCTTACCACTTGCAGACCATGACTGCTGTTTGCAAGGGAAACGTGTGCTCTTGTACCAACTTGGGTGGTTGTTCCTGCGTTACTTTAACACAGGAGTAGTTTTAAACTGGTGTCCGGTACACGGTGAAGTTCCTGCTGGGGTAATCTCTACTGCTGGGTCAGGGTCCTCTTCCCCGTGAGCTCTTGCCCTTTGCCCACCAACATTTCATTAGGGATTTGTTGGGTTTTTTTCCAGGTCAGTCATAAAACTAAATAGCAGCTTCATCCTGGCACTAACTGGCCAAATAATTTGGCTCCTGCTGTTTCCAGTCCATGTATATTCTCCCCACCCTGCCTGTTTGCCCCGTTGCGGTCCCTTCAGAGGACCATCCCCTGCCTGCGCCGCCTCACCTCAGCCTGCGCGTGTGCTCAGGAGAAATAAAAGATACCAACTGTGAAGGCCAAGCTGATGAGCAAATGTCCAAGCAGCAGAAGTTCCCCGAGGAAGGCTGGGGAGAGGTCCCTCGAGTCTAAGGCTCGTTCCCAAAGGAAGCTGCCGTAGGCTCTGCTGCAAGGCTGTGCAGTGCAACGCAACTGGAACCATGGTGGGCCAGTGGCCTCTGAGAAGGAGGCCACCAAGGTGTAGTCAGTCAGGAGTGAGTGTCCCTTTGAGCTGGGTCCCGTGGGGCACGGCTGGTGTCCCCAGGCCAACAGGTGTGGGTGATCCCTTTGCCGTTAACCTTTAATGTTCATAACGGGTTAAGATGCCCATGTGACAAGGTGCCTTAAAGCACCGTGGAAGGTCTTCGGGTTTGTAAACCACAGGTTCTCATTTTTAGTTACTTATTTTTTCCAAATTGCAGATCTTGAGCTAGGCTATATGTTCAATTTCCTTTACTTTCCAGGTCGTGTGAAGCAGCTTAGGCCTGGACTATAATGAAGGGGACTCAACTGATGTGGTGTGGTAGTACACCACACACGCTGAGTCAGAGCTGTGTTAGGAAGCGTTTCAACAAACAACCAACTTCTTCAGGTTGTCGTGGAAATTAGAATTGCATCCTCATCTGCTTTATTGTGTTTCTAGAAGCTGCTTAGGTACCACCTTGCGCCAAAATACTACATTTTGGTGGGTGGATGAAGTATAATTTGTGTACTGAAATATTGAAGAACCTTGTGTAGGACAATGGCCAATTGCTTAATTACCTCATTGAAGGTGTGTGGACTGATCGAGTTTTGCAGAAGATTTTAAGCTTGTGTTGAGGAGAAAAGGTGCTCCGGAAACCGTGCCTATATTAGATGTATACAGGCAGTGTGATGCATTAGATGTGTAGTATTAGTTGTATGTCACCAGTGTGCCGGGGAGAGCGTGGTGGGTGCTGCCTTGGTTAGCGGGTGTTGAGGGAAGCATGGCGGACCAAGTTCCTTCTGCATGGAGATCATGTTGGCCCAAATCGACGGTCCCTGGGTTCAGGTCTCTGTCAGTCACTCGAGTATTTCTGCAGCTGTATGCACTGTCTTTGGAGGTTCTGGGGAGACAAATCTAGTAGGGATGGGGTGTTTGTGGGAGGAGGAGGAAGCCTGTGGGCAAAGATGCTGGTCTGCATTAGGAGAGATCTAGTCGGTACTGTCTTGTACCTCAGCGTGAGGTAGGATTTTGGCCATGTCGCGCAGCCCTGTGAAGCATTTGGGGCAGTAATGCCCACTGTGAGTGGTAGGCGGTGGAAAGGGCTCTGGCATCATCTCCAATCCAGATATCCCCGGGGTGAAGGGTGCAGGCCAGCATCCGTGAGGTCAATCTGTTCCTCTCCTTGCCCCAGCCCGTGGGTGGGAGGGTTGAGAGGGCGGCAAGAGGGGCATCCAGGTCTGCATACGAGATCTTGGTCTCCTGCCCTGATCTCTCCCGGGGAGGAGGGCCCAGATAACCCATCTGGGTTGACTTCTAGGGCAGGTGCCATAGCAGAACCGATTTAGTCCGTAGGGCTTTTGGAAAATACGTCATCAGGCCTTTCTCATCCTGGTTTCGTTTTGTATATATTGCTCTGTGTTTTCTCCCTGTCAGTCACTGTGGTATTCGTCTTGGTGGGACCACCGGGAACGGGCAGGCTCGGCCTGTGCCCACCGAGCCCCTGGCCGGTGGCACGCCTGGGCACCCAGCAGGATTTAGCTGCCAGAGCTCCCTAGGTCCTCCCAAAGCAGTGTGGGGCAGGCAGGCCCGAGAGCTTTTTATTAATATTATTTATTGTTACTATTATTTTTTTTCCGGTTTCTGGCTCTGCAGACCCACAGATGCTCTTAATGGAGATACGGCCCGTTTATATGTTAATTTTAAGCCTTCTGACAAGCGGTTTGCTTTTCTCCTGACTTCTCACGGTTCCTTTGCCCGTTGAAAGCCGCTGCCACGGGCTTAGGGGATAAGGTGCCGAGAATTAGAAAATAAAATAAAATCTGCAGGATGCTGGAGAGCGAGGGGGAATGGGGATTGGCTTGCTCAAAGTACAAACGGGTGATTTCTGAAAGCAAGTAACCCTGATACCAGGGGCGTGCATGACAATTACATCCAGTACAATACAAAATGTTAATTACTAAATTTTGAGAAATTAATGCTGATTAGCAGCTGCGTGTGTGTGACCTAAATACATCTATTGCTTGATCTTTATTCATAATACGGAGTTTATTGTTGATAAAGTAATTGCTGAATGGTGGGCTGGCCCACAAGTGTCGTAGCTAAAGACTGAGGCCTGATTTGTAAATCGTCTGAAATTTGTTGGCATCTGTTTTTTGTTGAATTTATACAGGCAGGGAAGATGAATAGCAGTCTGAGCTATCCCCTTTACAACTCAATTCATAGATATTATTGAGAATTCATATTGCTTTTATTATTTGGTCACAAAAATGGACCTAATGCTTGTTGGCTTTAAAACACCTACTAGCGCTGCTTTCTCTCTCCATCTTGCAAAATATAAGACAAGGCCGAAGCTTAAATTAAAATCCTCAGGTTCTTATCTCTTTCCCACAGGAAAGCAAATCTGTGTTGAAAACCGTAAAATTAAGAGGAGAGCAAGGATAGCATAATTTAGCAAAAATTCATGGCACCAGATTCTGAGCTATATGACTGGAGGGATAGGTCAGACATTAAGAAGATACTGCCTGCTAATGCAAGTTCCTTAAGGTGGTGCTCTGGAAACAAGGCAAGCACGGAATGCTGCACTGGTTCCCACTTGCTCCCGTTCCTCTGCTCCTACTGGCCTTAACAATAAATTGAGTTGTCCATTTAATAACCCTTCTGCTTCCAGAAGTCCAGAGAAATCCTGGGTTTGTACTTGGAGTATTGTCCTAACATCTGTTTGTGCCAGGATTTCAAGAGTGAACTCAAAAAAAAATTAATTTCGTTTGGCTCTTAAATTATTTTTTTTCTTAATTCCTTATATGTGACAGGCTGTCCTTGCTGTGTTTTATCAGCGTTTTTGTCTGATAGACAGCATTTATTTGTCTCCTTTTTTTTTTTTCCCCCCTTCTGATTTTATTAGAAACCTGTTTGTGCCATAATTATTTTTGCTAAGGGGCAGGGTAGCCTGGCGGGGTACAAATGAGGAGCGCCTGTTACGAGCTGGTATCACCGCTATGGCTCATCCCGCCGTGAGAAGAGCAACTTGTGTTTCAAGCTGCATTAACGCAGCGGCGTTTCATCACGACGGACAAGTCCCGTTGTCTTGCAGCCTTGATCCAAGAGCTTAATTTTGGGCAGCGTCCCTCCGTCACGCCGAGCGCCTCCCGCCCCTGTGCCTATGTGGGAAGCGTGCGTCTTGGCCTGCATGGACATCGCCTTACGACATCCATTTTGGGACCCCCTCAGGCCTCTGTAGAGCTTCGATTTCTCCTCGGCATGACGCGGTGAGAGGTCACTGCACCGCTTGTATCTGAAATCAGACTTTTAAGGGTGGCTTTTCAGTTAACCTGCTACACAGACCGAGAGATTTCAACCAGAGTTTGTAAAATTGTGAGGGGAAATAAAACCCGCCATTCCCTCTGGCAGCAGCAGGTGTTGCGCCGTGCTGCGGCCACGCCAGGAGAGCAATGGAGAGGAGGAGTGAAGTTGATGAAGCTCGTGTTGCTCTTAAGGCTGGAGATGTGGCAAACTTGCACTTTAAACCTCATTTGTTTTGTTTTGGTTTTTTTTTAACGCGGATCCTGTAACCAAAGGGTTTCTTCAGCACTGCCGCTGGCTCGCAGCCCTTGGTGCGCAGTGCCTGCCTGCCCGCCATGGTGCTCCTCCCGTCCTGCGTCTCTCCAGCCACCGTTTCCCTGGCCCCATCTCCGTGTCTCCCAAACACTTCTCCTCCTGTTCCCGGCCCCCACCCATTTCCCTGCGTTTCCTCAATGCCCTCATCCCTCCTCCGGTGCCACTGGTTCAAGGATGCCGATTCTGGCAGCAAACCTGGTTGCCATCCACCAGCCCCAATGTTGTGTCTGTCCATCCGTTTCCTGCCCCTTCCGTAACGCAAATATGTAAAAATTGCATTTTGGAAGTGTTTGGGGTTTTGTAATGCATAAGCCCCACCTTGCTAATACTATTTAATTTTTTTTTTTCTTCTCTTGCAGTCAAACAAGGTGCCAGTGGTACAGCCTTCTCATGCGGTTCACCCCCTCACCCCTCTTATCACCTACAGCGATGAGCACTTTTCCCCAGGGTCGCACCCATCTCACATCCCCTCCGACGTCAGCTCCAAACAAGGTGAGCCCATCCCATCCCAGCACGGTGGGCATGCGAAGCGGTCCCGGTGCCTCGCATGCTGCTGATAAAGCTTTATTTTTAGTACTTCAGAGGGAGGTTCCAGGCATGCATGCCCGCTTTCAGAGATGGTAATTCTGCCGTGATGCTGATGTTGAACTTGGCTGTTTAAATCTTCATGTTCTTTCTAATGTGATAATTCGAGCTTGCCTTACTCGTCAAAATCTTTTAAAATCTCAATAAGCGGCAGCCAGTCCTCGCCATCCTCTGTGGTGCCTGAGGCTTGCAGCATGCAGATGCGGAAACAGCAATCATCTCTCACCTTCCCGAAAACAGGGGAAGAGTACTTCAGTAGTGGTGGTATTGAAACCTTTTCTTTTTCACTTTTACTCAAAATTGTATTTTATGTCCTTGTATTCTGGCTGTCTGAATTCCTCAGTCAGTTGGCATAACTGAAACGTAGCCCATAAAATACAATTTTGAGCCTGCACAAGTTAAGGCTTTGCGAAACTGACATTTTTTTAACCTTGTGCCTGCTGCCTTCTGCAGAAAGCATCATTTTAGGTGTCCAAGTCACAGGTGTCAGTTTTCTCTGTGCCCCTCAGACTCCTTAAAAGAAACAAAAAAAGCCCTCCAGATCCTTGTCTGGGAGTGTTAGACCATCCCCGCTCCGGGTCAGTCTGCAGGCCCCCGGGGAAGTGCCGACAACCTCCGAGGTGCCGAGCCCAGCCTGTGTGGAGAGCTCTTGCCCAGCGCCCCGGCAAACCCAGGGATTTCCTGGGGAGGATGCGGTTGCTTGCATTGGGATGCAAGAGCCGGGGGGAGGACGTGATAGCTGTTGGGGAGGTGCAAGGTTTATTTTTATACTTCTTTATTTTTGACTGGCTGGCACAGGACTGAGACAGGGTTTGGGTAAGCACCCGAGGAGGAGAAGCCTGTGTGGGAGAGCTGGTAGAGAGGAGGGAAGAAGAGGGAGCAGAGGGTTTGCAAAGTCATATGCTGTAGTCGGGACATCTGTGTGTGGCCGTGAAGTCTGTGGGTGCTGGGACGGGTCCTGGTGGGTGCCTCTTTCTGCACTTGCATGTCCCACCATGTGGCATGATGCCTAGTTGACAAGATTGTGAAGCTCTGCTTTACCTGGGCACCCATGCACATGCACAGTTGTCCCATTTATCTGGAGAGGTGTCTAGCTGCCATCATTCAAGGAGAGAGACTTTTTTTAGTTCTGACTTCCTCTGAATGCCTAGTTTTTATTTTGGCCTTGCTACACAGACAATAACATGGGCTACATCCAGAAAATACCATGGCCTTGTGGCTCTGTGTGTTTTTTGCTGTTTGTTGGTTAATTGGTTGTTTTTTAAGGGAGGGAGAATACAAAAAGCACTCTGCCTGGAAAGCCTGGCCTGAAAATACGTGTATAATATCTTTTTCAGAGTTGGAAGAAGCAAATGGAGACCTCCTGTCCTCATTTGTCTTCCTCCTTTGCATCAGTGCCTAGGAGAAGCATTTTCACGCTCCATCCTTGAAATCCCAGGGGTGCCACACATTAGAGAACGGGATTTCCACCTCTTGCCCGAGCTGGCTGCAATGGCTGGGGTACACCCCGCTGCTGCAGTTCGTGAGCTCAAGAGGTTTTTCACTTACTGCATGCTGGGTTTGCCCTCCTGCGTCCCAATTCTTTGCCTTTACCCCTGGTTTATTTTTGTATTCCTGTCCTGCAGACCCAAACTGGACAACATCTGGTTTGTTGTTTCTGCTGCCTGTCCTCCCTTCTGCCTCTCCTCGCCCTCGCCCCTGTCCAGCTCCGGAGCATCCCACCACTCATGTCCCTGGCCCTAAGCACAAGCCTGGCGAAGGGCTGTGCCGAGGGGTGGCCAGGGGCATCTGTGGCCCAGAGCTCCAGTGTTGCTGAATGGTCTCTCGATTCCTTTGCTTAGAGTCTGGTGAAGATGGAGATGGATAAAACGGGCTGGAGATTTCTGGGTTTGGCTGTGACAGTCTCCTTGATGTGTGTGGTCTTCCCATACTCCCTGTTTCGACGCCGCTGGCATGTGGGAGCATCCCCAGTGAAGTGGCCCATGCAGTTGCTGTGAAGAAAGGATTTTTTTTTTTTCCCCTCAGGTCTTCTGCCAAACGCCTCCGACCATTGTTTCTGTCATCGCCTCCCACCGTGGGTCTGGAATGAGGCACTGCCCTGGTGCCCCATCCCTGATGCCAGGGTGCCTTCCTCCTACCAAAATCCTTCAACAAAGAGGTCCACAGCAGCTTGCCTGCAGTGCTGCCTCTTGCACCCCAGGCACTTTGGGATGGACACACAACCACTGCCTTCCTAAAGGTGGTCACTTCTTTCTTCCCTTTTTCTTTTTTTTTTCCTTAACCCTCTTACGAGCAAGAACTTGCTTTGGAGAGCACTGGTCGTATGGTAGCTGCGTGTGTTATTGCTAGGCGTTAGGTAGCTGGCAGCCCCCCGTAAGGGGCCAGAAGCTTTGGACTAGCAAAAACCACTGTGCATTAGTGCAGAGAGAGCAGTGTTGTCTCCATGGGTCAGAAATGTGGATTTTGAGTCAGCTCCTTGCGCAGAACTTGGTCTGGCAGGGGCAAAGTCGTGTCGTCACTCCCAGGAGCACCAGTCGTCACCAGAGATGAGACACTGGGCTTGTCTTTCATCTTTGTGGGTTTTGGTGGTTTTCTTTTTTTAAACTAAAAGAGTGTTCCCTCTCATGTAAAAACCCTGGGATATATAAATTGTTCCCTCTCCTGTTGGCCACCAGCTGGTTTACACCTTTGAAAAGACAACTGGCCAGAAATTTGATCCTCACTCAGGTTGTGGTCCCAAGTCTGAGAATTTAGCTTTTTTGAGACAGTAACACCACCAGTATTGTTTTCCGTTCTTTCCTGTACACAGTCCTGAAAGATATTCTTCAAATCTTGTAATTAAATTCAGAAGATTTACATACAAACTGGGGAGGGGGGGGAATAAATCAGTAGCTTCAATCTATAAACCAAGTCTCAAGGTAGCACATGCTCAGTCTTGGACCTTTGGAGTGTCACCACATAAATATTTAATACCCTTTTAAAGCAGCTGATTTAACATGTGAAGTAGACTTAACAATTCCTTCTGCTTCGGCCCCCTCTTCCCCAAACACATTTAAATAAACCGATGTCTTTGTGGCCTCTGCAACCATAATTCCATGTCTCCTGAGGGCACAAGGTTTAGGTGAAGAATGGAGACCACAGACCCTTTTGGGACAAGGATTAGCTTTAATCTTGAGGTGATTCTTGCAGTTGTAGGACTCTGTGTTCTGGGGAATGTGAGCTGATGGATCATTCCTGATGGGACTCTCTTATTTTTCCATGAAAAACTACCAATGCAAAACAGATTGACCTTGGAGCCCACAGGAGTCAACTTGATGAAGAGCTTAGTTGGAGCTGGAGTGACAATTGGAAGCCAAATGAATCATATCAAGTGTGACCATTACAGGCCTGAAAATGATTCTTAATTAACCACTGATCCTCTGTGGTAGCAAGTTTCCAAAATCTGCGAATCCATAAGGGAACCCGTGAAAATGTACAAGTAGCAATTTACCTAATCTAATAGCTCTGCTGTGCTGCCTCTTTGACAACGCTTTATTTTCCTCTTGCCTCATGCTGTGTTAGAAGAGGTCCTCAGGATCCGGTTGGGTTTGGTGAAACCGTTGAGAGGACAGTATTGCCTAACGCGCCTTACAGGAGATCTAAACTTGCACAGGTCCTTACCCATATGTTTATTTCCTCCTTCCACTTTGTTTTTTCCAGTATTTCCCTTTGAATTGCAATATTGTGTGCAAGTTACTATTTTAAAGGTGGCGTGGGTTGCCTTCTGCTTTTAACAGTAACCAAGAAGGTGGTTATTTCTTATCCAGAGCGCCAATTCCATCGTAGCTTGGCGGTGTTAGCTGTGAACTATAGCTCATGTGTAGTACTTTGAGAGGAAAGTCATTCATTCTTCTGTGCTCTTTAACAGGCATGTCCAGGCATCCTCCAGCTCCTGATCTCCCTACCTTCTATCCCTTGTCTCCAGGGGGGGTTGGACAGATAACACCACCTCTTGGCTGGTAAGATCTTTTAGCTTCTTTTCAGACAAAGGTGCACGTTCACACCGTTTGCTGTTGTTGAATCAGTCGCAGCATTTACAAAATAAGAATGTCGCTGCAGTAAGAAATTACTACGTTATTGTAGTTGAAAAGATCAAAAAATGTCGATCTTTGAAATGAATTGAATCTGGTTCTTGAACACGTACAGAAAATGAAGTGTGTAGATTTCACTTTGAAGTCTTTATATTTCTTATGGCTCAGATTTGTGGCTCTTGGCATTTGGAAAGCTAGCAGAAAACAGTTCTCAAGGAATTAAATGTAAATTTTTAATAAACAAAATTGCAATTACTGAGGGGGGAGGGGAGGTAAGAAGGAACTTTGAAGTGTGTGTATGTGTGGGGAGATCTTGAAACTGCACCCAAATGGAGAACAAACTTCTGTGATATGCTGCTTTTTACAGTTTTTGTATGGAGAGAAGCCTCTGTCATTGGGAGATTTTGGTGCACTTGCTAATACTAGCACTCCCAGGATCTCTCTCTGCCGCTCAGGCTCTCATTTTCCTTTTGGAGGAAACACGTGGTGTTTTCAGAATAATTGATCTGGCAGGATGCTTCACGTCTACTTGGGGTAGATACGTACTTGCTCTCAGTTCTGTTGGAGCAGGGAATAAGGAAACTCAGCAACAATTTCAGTGCTTTGGAATCTGTATCTTGAGTAGTCCATGCTGGTGCAACGAGCAAAGCAGATTTATTTTTTATTTTTTTTCAATATGTCTATGGGAGGGAAACACGATCCAGATGACAACAGGCAGAGAAAGCAGAGAGCAGAAGATGGTGAAACGCTGTATTGCTGGCAAATCTTTCAGGAAGTACCACATGCCTTTTTGGAACAAATTATTATCAGATACCAAACTAAAATAGAGAAGTATCTGACTCAGTTCCTGGCATGCATTTTCCAGATGTGGTCAATCATTTCTCCTGAATGGGTTCTCGATGCAGAGGCTGTGGGAAGGGAAGAGGGAAAAGATAAGGAAGAGGAGAGACAAGATCTGATCTTAGAAGGCCTGGGGATGTGTTCAGCGGCCCTCACCGACACTGGGACATACCCAGCCGTCCCTTTTGCTGTACGGCTTCCAGCTGCCTTCTGTGCAGTAGTGCTGCTGAGAATTCCTCCGCTTTGTGGTTTTTTTTTCTTCCCCCTTCCCTTTGAGCACTGTTCATTTCCAGTATCGTACACCCAGTGTGAAACCTCTATCCTGAACCTTAGAAAGGCCAATATCCCTTTTTTTCCCCTCTGAAAGCTGATCAGCCAGTCAGTAGGTAACTGTTGAATAGGATTGATGTGTGCAGTGGTCGTTCTGGGCTGGGTCAGGTATTTGGGCTGAACTGGTATTTGTTTGCATTACCATAGCATGCTACTTCAGGGTGTTTATCGTAGTCACAGCCTGAACCATTGCTAACTGAAAGTAATCAAAATGTAGTGATGATGATAAAAACTAGAGAGTCCAAATGAGAAGTTGGTGACAAAATGTTATGTATATGTGGGAGTATAAAGGAGGTAAGAATTTCACACCAACTTCTCTTACTGGTTTGAAAAGTTTGATCTTTAAATAGTTAAGATGGACTTATGTTGCTGTCAGCTTTTAGGTGGCTGTAAGTATTTTTTTTTATCATTATCATATAAACTTCTACTTTCTTAGAAAAGCTGGCTGCTTGTGCCTCACTACAGAAGATGCAAATGGAGAGAGTCCTAAGTTTTCAAAGACTTAATAAAACTGTTCAGAAGGTTTTCTAGCTTAGTAATTCAGTTTGGTGTTTTTGCGCTGATCTACAGTAGAACTATTTGAACTAGGTGCCTCTTCCCTAACAGGTAGTTAACCAAATCTGATTCCAGTGCTTTTAAAACTAGGTGAGGGAGGGACAGAGATAAAGGCGTGTGCATGCATGCGTGTGTGTGTATGTGTGTGTGCGTGTGTGCACATGAGCTTTGGGGGCGGAAGGCTGGTGGTTTTGCTTTCCTCCGCGTTGGAAACCTAGACTGGGAATCTTTCGATAGCAAGGGAGAAAGTCCAAAGCGTTCAAGTAGTCGTTAGCTTTGAATGCCGCAGAACTCTGGAAAGTTTTACCTGTTACTATTTATTTGTGACTAGTACTGAGTTCCCATCAAGTGCTTGTAACTCTAGAGTAACTATTGAATACCGTATCGTATGATTGATGGGTTCCTTTCTTCTGTGACCTCAGGCAAGGTCAGCCTGTATATCCCATCTCGAGTGGATTCAGGCAGCCCTATCCATCCTCACTCTCAGTCGACCCTTCCATGTCCAGGTAGGTGTAGGAGGTGAATGACTGGGGAGTAACTGCTGGCATTAGAGGGCAAGTTGCTCTTCTGCTTGCATCTTGGTCTGCCTTTGCTTGCTTTTCAGTCAGCTAAAACTTTATGCGTACATTTTTGTTTAACTTATTTGTGTATATACAGTTTGCCTGGATCCCACACTGGTCTCATTCAGCATTTTCTTGGCAGTCTCTGAAGTATTGCAATTAGGAGCACCAGTGAATTGACAACAATTAATTGAGTTGTTTCATCTGAAATGAGTCGTCAGTTCATTTCTAGATGCAACATATAGTGTGCATTCTTGGGTTTTGCTCATGCAAGTGTGCAACCAGGTGGATTGTCACTCTAGTCTGTGTTTTCTAGTTCTAATTCCAAAGTTGTTGGTAATTAGTCTTGAATCATTTAGGTATCACTCCGTGTGGAAACTTGCTCACAAGTAGGTATTTCATAGCCCAAAGCCACTAATGGCAGGGGATGCCAGCACAGTGTATTTGTACTGGTGTGTGAATCAGGCACTGTGTCTTTATGTCTAAGTGCAAGCAAGCAATGCTAATTGAGACTTGGCCATGACACACTCCAGACCTCCTGTCCTCTGCTTTTGCACTCTAAAGACAGCTTCTGTATCCTGTGCTTGGTGTACACAAGGTTGCAATATACCATTCTTGGGGGTTTTTTTGTGTGACCTGTAGAAGACACATCCTCTTGCACAAGGATTTAAGACAGGCCACTTGATAAGTGGTGGGTCCTCTTACCTCTGTTTGTGTGGGCTCCTTTGAATTATCACTGTCCCTTCACTTCTTTACAGGGGAATGATAAGCATGTACCTGTCAGGGTGATTGGGAAGGAAACCCGTTCTTCCTCCATAATGAAATGACTTGATTTGGTTACAGGGCTTTGTGTTTGCTTTATTTTGATGGGATGAAGGAAAAGGGCAAGGGGACTAGGGAATAGAGAAAGGAGAGGCTGGATGCCATTCCTTATCCAGCACTCTTTCAGCAAACCTTTGGAGCATGAGCTTGCTTTTGATGTTAATGGTACTTTCCACCAGTTCAAAATAAAGCACGCAGGTTTTCTGCTGCACTTGAGCTTGTAATGCTCAGCGCCTTCAAGATCCTCTCAGGTAGCCTTGAGGATGACCTGGGTTAGTAGGGTGGGATTGATTGAGTTAGTGGTACTTTAGTTTTCTTTTCCATTTTCCTTCTTGTACAAACGAAAGGAAGTTTTGCTCAGGACAAAAGTCTCTCTCTCTCTCTCTCTC